CACAATCAAAACAAAACAGCACCACCGCCATCACTATTACTATCATCAGCACCATCACCATCATCTCCATCACCATCCCCTCCATCCCCACCCATCACCTCTACCCCCCCTCACCCCACCCCACTACCATCTCCCCCCACTACTACCACCCCTCCATCACCCCACTCACCCCTCACCCCCTTCACCCCCTCCATCACCCCACTCACCCCCCCACCCCACACATCCCCACCCACCACCTCTACCCCCCTCACCCATCACCCCACTTACCCCCTCCCCCCCCACCCCTCAACACCCCCCTCCCCCCCAACCACCCCTTCCACCACCAAATCAACTCACGCCGGACGGTGATATGGACAGGGTTGCTAATGTTGCGCCCTTCGTAGTTGCTGGCGGCGCAGGTGTATGTCCCCGAGTGCTTCCGACGAAGGCGCTGCAGGACGAGGCTCAGGCCGCTCACCACGACCCCTCCTTTGACGTCGTGCTCTACAAGGGCGCCCTGAGAGGAGAGGAGAGGAGTGGAGTGGAGTAGAGAGGCGTTGGGTATTTCGTTAATGGGAGGGTTTTTAGTGTCCTAGTTTTCTTTTCTGTTTTCTTTCCAGTTTTTTTTTTTTTTTTTTTGAGGGGGGGTGTCATTAATTTTTTTTTTTGTTTTTTTTTTGTTTGCTTAATAGATATTTTGTGATAATCTTAATCTATATATCTAGATAGATTTTTTTTTTTTTGTTATTCGTTTATTTTCTTTTCTTTTTCTTTTTTGATGCTGCGTGTCAACAAAAATATGTTAATCGTTTAAGACTTTAAATTAATTTTTGTTAATTATTCGGAAAGAAGTTTCTGATTTAAAGACCTATTTCCGGAAAACAAAAGTTTGGTGTTCCTAAGGTGTATTTAGGTTGAGAAAACAGTTTAGCATTTCTAAGAACTGTTTTCATTTTTGTGGAAGACAGATAAATAATTAGGTATTTCTAGAATATCCATCTAAAATTCCTTGTGGGAGATCAAAGAATATAATAATGTTCCTTGGCCCTTCATTTTAGAAATAAAAAGCATCTTGGTAAATGTGATAGTTAAGGCCATTTACACAACTGCAAATTTACGAAGCAATAAAATACACGGGGCATTATTTTCCTCAAAGTTCCAAAATGTTTCTGATATCATACGTAATATCATTCAATTGATGGCTTTTGATAATCTATTCATTTTTATTCTCCTCCAATGAACCGATGCATTAATAAAAATATTACCCACACCCCAGAATTAACGTTCAAACTATTGCAAATGCATTTTCATTCTCTTAAATGTATTACAGGGGATAAATATTTTCCTAGGGTTATTCAGAGTACACGTTTTACCGTTCGCTCTGTAATAAAAGCTTGTAAATAATACACATAAAAAAAAAACAATACAGTAAAAATAACATGCAGTACGTCCACAAGTTAAAATACAAGATGAAACGTTTTATTTTTATAATACATTTTCTATTTCTTTTCTCCTTTATAGTTTCTGTAGACTGGAACAACGAGGACAAACAAACAAGGTAAATATAATAAATAATTACATAATAGCCAATGTGACTATCACGAACAAAGGAAACATGAAAATTGGACGGTTCAAGACTATGTTTTTGCTGTTATCTATCACAACTGAATCGTATATCAATACAAACTGGATTTCTTGAAAGAAAAAAAAAAAAAAAAAAAAAATCCTCAACAACAAACATCTATCAAATATTTAAAATAAACCACACACCGAAAATCACTCTAAACCCGAAGATACTAAAAAAAGAAAAGAAAAAAAAAGAGAGAGATAAAAAAAATAAAATAAAATAAAACCAACAGCAAAAAAAAACACACACAAAAAGCATAATACACTTACGTTATGATACCACTGGACACGAATAACAGGTGGATTAGACCTTATAGAACACTCGAAGTAGACGTCGCTGCCCTCTGTGATGGCGCTGGGGTCTATGGGCTTCCCGAGTTCCAGATGGACGACGGGAGTGTCTGGAAGAACGTGTGAGAGTGAGTGAGGGAGAAGGTGAAAGAGAGAGAGTGGAAGAGAGGGGGAGAGACGAAAAAGAGGGTGAGAGAGAGAGAGTGAAAGAGAGGGTGAAAGAGAGAGAGTGAAAGAGAGAGGGGAGACGAAAGATAGGGTGAAAGAGAGAGAGTGGAAGAGAGGGGGAGAGACGAAAGAGAGGGTGAAAGAGAGAGAGTGGAAGAGAGAGGGGAGACGAAAGAGAGGGTGAAAGAGAGAGAGTGGAAGAGAGGAGGAGAGACGAAAGAGAGGGTGGAAGAGAGGGGGAGAGACGAAAGAGAGAGTGAAAGAGAGGGGGAGAGGCGAAAGAGAGGGCGAAAGAGAAAGTGAAAGAGAGGGGGAGAGACGAAAGAGAGGGTGAAAGAGAGAGAGTGGAAGAGAGGGGGAGAGGCGAAAGAGAGGGCGAAAGAGAAAGTGAAAGAGAGGGGGAGAGACGAAAGAGAGAGACGAAAGAGAGGGTGAAAGAGAGAGTGAGAGACGAAAGAGAGGGTGAAAGAGAGAGACTGGAAGAGAGGGGGAGAGACGAAAGAGAGGGTGAAAGAGAGGGGGAGAGACGAAAGAGAGGGTGAAAGAGAGAGAGTGGAAGAGAGGAGGAGAGACGAAAGAGAGGGTGAAAGAGAGAGAGTGAAAGAGAGAGGGGAGACGAAAGTGAGGGAGGGAAGAGGGGTGGAGGAAGGGAAGGAAGGGAGGAAGGGAGGGAAGGGAAGGAAGGGAGGAAGGGAGGGAAGGGAGGGAGAGAAGTAGGGAGGGAGGGAGGGATGGGGAAAGAGGGGAGGAGAAGGATGGACACCGAGAAACAGGAAGAGAGGGAGAGGAGACTGGGATAGACTAAGAAAGGCGAAGAGAGGGATAGACCGAGAGAACTGTGAGAGATACAGAGAGAGGGAGACAAGAAAGGAAGGAATTGGGAAAGAGATGGAGACAGGAGGAGAGGGAGAGAGGGTGAAAACCAGAAAGAGGGAGAGGATCACAGTAACGGATGAAAGTGGGAATGGAAGAAGAAGGAAGGGGGAGTGAGAGAGTGAGAGGTGAGTGCATAGGGAAAAAGGGTATGAGAGAGAGAGGAGAGAAGGAGGAAAAGATTAAGGGGAGGAGGCAAAGGGGATAAGAAGAGGAAGAGGATGTGGGTGCGAAGAGGAGGAAGGAAGGAAGAATTACTGCATTGTGGTTTATTTAGAAGGGAGAAAGGGGTTGAGTGAAGGTTAGGGTGCAGAGGGAGAGGACGAGGAGACAGGGAGAGAATAAAAGAGAGAGGGGGAATAGAGAACGAGAGTAAGAACGAAAGCGAGCGACCGAGTGAAAGAGAGAGAGAGAGAGAGAGAGAGAGAGAGAGAGAGAGAGAGAGAGAGAGAAGAGAAGAGAAGAGAAGAGAAGAGAAGAAAGGAAGGAAGAAAGAAAGAATGAAAGAAAGAGAAAGAGAGAGTGAGAGAGAGAGAGAGAGAGAGAGAGAGAGAGAGAGAGAGAGAGAGAGAGAGAGAGAGAGAGAGAGAGAAGAAAAAGAAAGAAAGAGAGAGAAACAAAGAACAAGAGAGGCAATAACCTCCCTCGTTACACATAGCAAAAAAAAATCCCACTCAAAAGCAATCACGCACACACACACACATTAATAATAAACACTAACACATTCTCTCAATTCCACAACAAAAGATCAGCAAACAAGAACAAAATAAAAGTCCCCACTCACAATGAACTTCCAGCTTGACAGAATCGGTGAGTCGAGCGTGGTGTATGACAGGGTTGACAGCCATACAGGCCAACGTTACCCCGTCAAGGTCCCTGTCCACTTCTAACGTTAGCGTCGCTGTCGTAACGTTTCCTCCATCCTCCATCTGCGGAAACGTTTGTAGTAAAGAGGTCGTTGGTACCATGTAAAATAAATTGCCCTGTGTACTTTTTTTTCTTCCTTTTTTTGTTATTATTCATGTGCCTTGCCGTTATATGCTAATTACCTGCCATGGGATTATATTGCCATAATGTCTAGCAGGACCTATAAAAGAGGGAATCTGAATACGTAATTATCCTTAATTACACACAATTGGCTTTGGGAAATGAGTGTGTTCGTAGGCCCACCGAACACACCATTGTAAACAAACCCCGATAGTATTATGTCTCAACGGTATCATAAACCCTATCGATTAAAAAATAGTTATAATAATAATGACAATAAAATCGAGGACTAACGTTGTTTAGGACCGTAAGAATTATACCACTGTAATATTTCTAAACAAACGAGCCGGCTATGAACTACAACATTACCGTTCTTTTCCGACATATTTATCCATCTGTGCTGTTTACATGACCATAGACTAAATATAATTACAATAAAAACTGAATAAGGATATATCATAAGTTCTCCCGAATTGTTATAACAATGAGATACCCGATTTTTTTTTTCTTTTTTTTTGGATAACGAAGGATAATGCTAATATGAGTAACTTTGACATTAATTGCAACTGAACAGGAATCTACTACTGGTATTTAATTAAAGCAAATCCAATTGCCTTTTGATATCAATTCACAAGCGAAGGATTGTTTTTGATGCTTATTAGTGTGTTTACGATGTCGGGATAATCGTCCCAAATACAATATTAATGATATGTAATTGCTTGTTCCCTTTGCTGATCCTGAACAACCGAACTGTACGATTTTCCTCCTCCTCTTCCTCTTCCTTCTCTTCTTCCTCCTCCTCCTCTTCTTCTTCTTCTTCCTTCTTCTTTCCCCTATCCTCCTCCACTTCATTTCTCCCCCTCTTCGTCCTTCTCTTTCCCCTCCTCCTTCTCTTCCTCTGCCTCTCCCTCCTCCTCCATTTTTCTTTCTCTTCCTCTTTTTCTTCTTCCTCATTCTTATCTTCCTTTCTTTTGTTATCCTCCTCATCTTCCTCCTTCTCCTCCTCCTCCTGCTCCTCTTCCTTTTTTTCTCTTCTTCCTCTTTCTTTTCACTCTCTTCCTCCTCCTTCTCCTAATCCTCTTCTTCTTTTCTTCTTTTTCTTCTTTTTCCTCTCCTTGTCCCTCCTCTTCCTCCTCCTCTTGTTGCTGCCGTTCCTCTTTCTCTTTCTCTTTTTGTTCTTCCTCCTCCTTCCCTTCTTTTCTTCTTGTTTTCGTTCTTGTCCTTTTTCTTTACCCTTGCCCACTCCTATCTCTCCTCCTCCTTTCTCCTTTATTCTTCTCTTCGTTCCTCTTTTTCTTCCCTCATACCTTACGTCTCTTTCGAGTACCCCCCCCCCTCCAAAAAAAAAAAAAAAAAACGTTATGTCAATTAAACACATGATATAGATACCTTACTTTGCAAAAAAAAAAATAATAATAATAAACAAATAGATAAATAAATAAACATTAAACAAATAAACAAACTTACAACAACAGAATAAGTTTAAACAAAAAAAAAATCAAACTGGTGGGGGGGGGGGATATTTCATAGGAATCTACGCCAGGAGATTTAAATTCTAATTAAAACGGACGCACTTAACTAATGGGTAATTTTTTTTCTAAAAGGATGGTTTAGGTAATCCTTAGGAGTAATAAGATACCTTTGTGAGAGTGGATTTCTAATTAAGTTTAAGTGAAAGCTTTCTATATATTTCTGTGGGAATTTTTTTTTTTCCTTTATTTTTTCTCTTAATTTACTGAATCTTTAAAAATTGTTGTCTTTTTCTTAAGTTACGTATTTCAATTTTAAAATTGGCGTCGTCCATTAAGAACAGCGTATTAATAGACATTCGATATAAAAATAAGTAATTGAAACAAAGCAATAACAGAAATAGCATCGAATAGACATCCATCTCATAGATTTCAAAACTAACAAAAATAATCACTCAAATATTAAAGTAACTCACAGGCAATACTTCAACCACACAAAAAACTCATTACCTCACACTTAAATTACATAATCCGACACGTAACTCAAATTTGATATGCAACACTTTAATCAGTAGAGTTTAATCACTAACCTACTATACACACACTTATGTAAACTAACTCACACACACAAACTAGGCAACCGTGTGAATAAAACAACGTTCTGAATAAACCATTTTAAGGACAGAACACACACCTACACATAAACTTCACATAAACTTAAAAAAAAACAAGTAATTCTGGATTGCTGTTCATAATCAATACTTTGAACTACAAAGCTGCTTCGCTAACTTAAGATAGAACTTTGTCATCATTGCCAGAGTTCTAACTTCCTTGAGGAAAACTTTGATTTTAACTTTAATTATGAAATAAATGAACTGGATCTTCATGAATAAACACTGTAAATTTAAAGTTTTTTAAACATTAGTATATCAAAGATCATTCACACAGAGCATGAGCTAAATATCCTCCTGTAAAGAAGATGGTGACGATAAAAAGAAGAACAAGAAGAAGATAAAGGAGAAGAAGAAGATAAAGGAGAAGAAGAAGGAGAAGAAGAAGAAAGACGATGGCGAGGAGGAAAAATAAGTAAGAAAAAGAAAGAAAACAAAAGAACAAGAAATTAAAACCTGTTCCCACATAAACTAACAAATCCAGACCTACAGACATACGATCCCCACTTTCATACACACATGTATGTACATACACACACACACACACACACACACACACACACACACACACATACACACACACACACACACACACACACACACACACACAAACAAACACAAACAAAAACACAAACACTCACACACACACAAACACAAACACACACACCCACACAAACACACACACAGAGTCACCAACACCACATATAAAAACAAAATCAACTCACGGCATGATGTACGGAAGTGAGATGCGAGTGACCCCGCCACCAGGAGAGCTGAGCGGGGGGGTGGGAGCCGACGCTGCGACACACCAGCCTCAAAGTCGTTCCCTCAGACACCGCCACGCCCGAGCCCAGGATCTGCACGTCGAGCGGAGGCACTGACGAAGGAGGAAGAGGAGGAGGAGGTGAAGAAGGTGAGTGCAAGGAAAGATTTGAAGGGGGGGAGGGGAGGTTAGGGGGGGAGAATTGGCGAATTTTGGAAAGGGGGTCCGTCTATAATTCTATGATTTTGTGATCGGATATACTTGAAGAACATGATACTCTACATCGACATTGGCTTATATATATATATATATATATATATATATATATATATATATATATATACATATATATATATATATATATATATATATATATATATATATGTATATATATTTGAATATATAAATAGTTTAATATAAATAAATAAATATATATATATATATATACATATATATATATATATATATATATATATATATATATATATATATATATATATATATATATATATATATGTATATATATATATGTATATATATATATGTATATATATATATATATATATATATATATATATATACATATATATGTATGTATGTACGTATGTATAAGGTCAAGTAGAAGTAGAAAAGGAAGAAAAAAATAGAAAAGAAAAAAAAAAGAAGAAGAAAAAAGAAAAAAAGGAAAAAACACAAAAAATAATAAAATCCAGAATGAAACACCCACGCGTGATGTTGAGGGCCACGGAAGCTGTCCTGGGCTGAATGAGCGTCGTCTTGCTCGTCTGCGAACTGAGGGGCGTGAGGGCGTGGCACGTGAGGGTGGCTCCCTGCAGATCCCGAGAGGCTGTCACTGTTGCTGTCACCTCGACCATGTCTTTCCCTGTGCGTCGAATGAAAGGAGAGTCATCTAGCGTACGGCAGGAAAGCATGCAAAGTTGCAAAGTTGTTCTCAAGGTGAACGTGATGGGTTTGCAAGCCGGTAACAATAAAGGATGGTGTGCATGGATTGCGTGATGAGGTGTTGCCAGTTGTGTGCATTTTTTTTTTCTTTCTTTTTTTTTCTTTTTTTTGGGGGGGGGTTGTTTGTATTCATAGAAGCTGGAATACTTTTGTTGTAATATCTCTTTTGTATAATGTTTATCTTTACTTTTATTAAGATATTTCTTTCGAATACGTGCCTAGGAAATATTTACGGGTCTAAAAACAAAATCCTACATACAATTACTGTACGAAAATAAAACACTCACTTTTCCCTTCCTAATCTTTTATTTATTTATTTTATTTTTATCTTAGTTGATATGTATTTGAATTCGATGACATATCTATCCAATACATTCTTACGGATAGATTTATTGATCTATCCATCTACACAACCACCTAAACCAAAGACCTCACCCAAACGTCCACATTACCACAGACACAACCCAAATATAAGCCAATTTTTTTTTTTTTTTAATCTCACTCGACACACCCCTAGACATTCCCCACACGACCCTCCCTCCTACCCTCCCCTCTCCCACCCCTCACCCCCCCAGACATTCCCTTCCTACCTACCCATCCCCTCCCTCCCCCTTCCCCCCCTCCCCCTCCCTCCCTCCCACCCCCCCTCCCCCTCCCTCCCGACGAAATCCTTACCCGTGGCGATGTCCGTGGAGGCGTCGAAGCGCTGCTGGAGCCTCGTGCCCTGTCGCCACCAGGTGAGCGTGGGAGGAGGCCGCCCCCCGACGCTCCGGCAAGTGAGCTGTTGTCGGGAGCCCTCGCTTAGGGGCCCCACGCTCCCCACGACCCCGACCCCCTGCCACAGGATCACGGGGGGACCTGGGGGCACTGGAATGAGAGAAGGGGGGGGTGAGTTGGGGCGGGCATGGAGGCACTGGAATGAGAAAAGGGGGGGATGAGTGGGGGGGGGGGCATGGAGGCACTGGAATGAGAAAAGGGGGGGGGTGAGTGGGGGGGGACCTGGAGGCACTGAAATAAGAGAGGGAGAGGGGGGGGGGCGTGAGTGAGGGGGACCTGGAGGCGCTGAACAGAGAAATGGGGAGGGGGGTGTGAGCGAGGGGGGGGACTTGGGGGCACTGGAATGAGAAAGGGGGGGGGGAGTGGGGGGGGAGGGGGGAGATCTAGAGACCCTATAGTGAGAGAAGAAAGGGGGCGAGGTATGGGTGGGTGGGAGGGGGGGAGGTTGACCTAGAGGCACTGTAATGAGAGTGGTGAGTGGGGGGGAGGGGGGGAGGGGGGGTAGTGCCACGGGTCGACGGCATATGTGCGTGACTTTTGCCCGTCATGCACGTGATGTATGAGGCATCTGTTCTAAAACGTGTTTGTTTATTTTGTTTTTTTTTACTTTTTTTTTTGCATGTTTATGTGAAATATGTTCATGTAGATATGCTTAGTTTCTAAATATATGTGGATACTGATTTGGTTTAATATATAGTAAGGACGTGAGTTGACTTTTGCGTATAGCATATAGGAATATTCGACCAAAAGGCTTTATTTTAGTCATCAGGACATGGGAAAGTATGAAATATTAGTTTATTAGCATATGGTGTATGTATGTATGTATGCATGTCAATATGTATGTATGTACGCATGGATGTATGCAAGCATGAATTTATGAATGTATATATGTATGTATGCAGTATGTATGTATGTATGTACAGTATGTATGTATGTATGTATGTATGTATGTATGTATGTATGTATGTATGTGTGTATGTACGTATGTATGTATGAATATATGCATGCATGCATGTATCTGTGTACGTATGTGTATGTATGCATGCATGTATGCATATATGTACTTATGGCTGTAAGTATGTGTGTGTGTGTGTGTGTGTGTGCGTGTGTGTGTGTGTGTGTGTGTGTGTGAGTGTGTGTGTGTGTGTGTGTGTGTGTGTGTGTGTGTGTGTGTGTGTGCATATATACATATATATCATCGTCCGCTTACGTACATAATGGACCTGCACCAGTGTCAAACCTTTCTCTGCATTTACCACAAACACATTTGTTATGGACCCGTTTAGGTATGCAGATAAGTTAATTTGAATATACGTTTATGGAGTTCAAAACGCATCGTAACTTCCATAAGAAAATATATATAAAAAAAAACGAGAGAGACACGATGGACAGAGAACCAGTTTTTTTTTTTTTTTTTTTTTTTTTGCATTTAG